ATTTGACATAAAAACCGGTGAGCAAGCAGAGTGTGCTGCAGCACGAGCGTCAGTAGCGACGCGAGAAGACAGAAATAATCAGAAGAAAATGACATCTGAGAGAAATGCCGAACATTCTGTGATACGTGAAAATATTGGTAATGCGAGTCGTAGCGAAGAAGAGAATCTGTATAAGAAGTCACCATTACTGAAACATATGAAGAGTCTGTCAAAAGATGACACGTTGGAAGATTGCGAAAGTTTTTACGGCAGCGACAAGGAAACAGATGATGCGTTAATATTTTCGGACGATACAGAAATTGATGTTGGTAGTTCCAGTTCAGATGGAGAGGATACTTATTTAGGAGAGCATGTTGAGCACCTCTTGGACAAGGTAACATGCATGTCGCATAGACGCGGCATTCATGTCCACCAGTCTGTTACTTATTCCAAGTCTCGATTATATAGGCCGTTATAAGAATTTTTCGATAATATATTTTACATGATATATTTTTATTTTCTTTTTCAGATGAAAGTTGAAAGGTCTCGGCCAGTCCTTATGCAGCATAAAATGGAAACGAAAGCTGTTCATGAAAAACCGCTGTTCAAAAGTCCAACGAGTATTTCTCGAACAGCGTTAGAGAAAAATATTTTGGAATTTGAACAGCTGGCGCAAATGATGTTATGCAGAATGGATGTTATGCTGATGAGTATCAGTGGTATCTCTAACGAGAGAGATCCTACCAAGCGTCTTGAGGTTCGTATAATTTACGTAAGTTTGTTTATAGTTAAAATTATTTTATTCAATAATAGTCTCATTTATATTTTTATGCATTACAGATACTGAAAAGTGAGATCAGTACCCTTGCGCCAGATGCAGCAGCTTTGATCAGTAAGGGAGACGGTTTAGTTATGACGATTCATATGAATGATCCCGCGCGGGCGGAAAAGATAAAAAACGAACATCAAGATAAGCTGAGAAGCAAGTGGCACCAGGTTATGGCGGAAATTGAAACGCGCAGAAAACAAGCGCAAAAAGCAGAGGAAGTTCTACGACAATATAATAATATAATAACGGAATTCGAAGACTGGTTCAGAGATGTACCATTGAAGCTCGAACAGGCTAATAATTATGAAGGCCAATTGGAATCGTTCACCGAAGAATTTGATGCGAAGCAAGTACAAATACACAAACTGAACGAGCTAGCTGTAGAGTTGAAAAAATTAAATGTTGGCTATTCGGAATCAGTACGCTATAACATCAATAGCAATTGGCAGAAAGTTAGTTCGCAGTTCAAAAGATTCAGTGGTAGCAAAGACAAAGATAAACATGTGGCTGACAAGAAAGTGGAACTGGTATGTTTCAATATCTCAATATATTGTAATATTGTAAATTAATTACTATTAAAACATTTTAAATTCATTGAAAATTTTGTACAATTTATTTATAATGAATATTATTATTACGAATTTTATTTTTTCAGGATATTGGCGGCGTTAATTCGCAAGAGTTCATCGCACGCATCGGCAAATTGAGAGAAGCAATAGCAACCGTATCGCGATCTTTGAATTCTTTGCCACTGAGTGGTAAAGACTATGAGTTATTTACAAGCCAAGAAGAATGCTTGAAGAAAATTAACAACGCTTTGAACATTTTAAAGCCAAGTGTCGAGGAAGCAAATTACTCTTGCGAAAACGTCATGCGGCAAGTCAAAAGAGAGCAATGTGATCAAATAAAGCATTTAAGCGAGAAGTTGCAAGACGAATGGGCAAGCGTTAGTCAGAGCTATATGGAAAGACATAACCGGTGGATTAAATGTTACGAAAAATGGAGAGAACTTCATAACACATGCCGGACATTTGCGGAGTGGTTGGATAAGATGGAAGACGCTTTAAAGAAGTGTAACGTTTTCAGCCATTCTAAAGCAAGTAAAACGAAAACTTTCGAATTGGAACAAGAAGTTTCGAGAATGCAAAGAACGTTAAATAATATCAATGCAGCGAGCACAGACATATCTAGCCGGGCTTCCACTGAGGATGTCATGGAGTTGCAGAATATAATTGAAAATATCAAGCACCGTTGGCACAATTTAGTGACGGAAATAAACGCACGAAAAGAAAAGTAAGTGAGACATGTTTTCAATATTTCAAAACAAGTAATCAAAATTATTTATGGATGTTTGTATCCTCATTTTTATTACTCAGACATCATAAATAAATATGCGTTTCATAATTGTCAAGTGATAATCGTTGCTTATAACGCGGAATTATAAATTATGAAATTATGACTTGCTAATGTGCAGACAAGCATGTAGTATTGCGAGGAAAGCTCGACCCAGCATTGAGCTATTTCAGTTGTGATTTGCCTGTGCTGCTGTAGTGAAGTCAGTCAACTCAGAATAACCTCAGAATAAACGAACATCTTCGAGTTTCTCTTGCAAATCACTTTTTCGTGTAAAACAATAATCGATATTAATAATTTCAATTACAATCTAACTTTAGTTATTTGTTATATACATAAAATATCATTAATAGACGTTAAAATGTGCTCCGCTTATACGTCACATTTCGAATATATTTGTATTTACGTATTATTTCAGAAATTTTGCGATGGAGAGAAAAGTGAACAACGATGGCAGGATTTTGGAAACGGCGTATAATATCATAGAGCAAGTGAATACTCTATTAGTATCGGCAGCAAATCCTTCGGACGAGACCTCATTATCGATCCGATTATCATTAATTAAGGTAAATACACATAGTTTTGGAACTTTTTGTTATTTAAATTTAGTTTTGGAATATTATTTTTTTATTATCTTAATAGAATTCATCCAAAAATAATTATCGGCGCAATAACAAATTTTATTGTCTATGTTTTTATGTTCCATATACAAAAAATTTTTTTTAACGACTTTTAAGTAAATACTAGTATTGTTATAGTAACGCCATTTTCATGTATAACATATTCACTATTTTCGTGAAGATCACTACACGAAATCACTTGTACTTTCAAAATAATATCACATATATACATGAATGTATAACACTAAAGAATATATACATAATTGAAAAACACTCTTTAGAGCGCTCTGTTTAGATGCGACTTGGATAAGTAACGGAATTATTCTCTCCGGGATTCAGTTCCCATGGGCTACAGCCCGGTGCAGCATAATCAAATAAACTGTGTAAACTTGTCCTAATAATATCTCTACATTTCATGACTGCACATGCCGAATCGTGCCAGGATATAAATAGCATTGAACTCTCACTTTCAAACAGTAGCTTCCTAATAAAGTTTGACTATATGTTCGTTCTTATTTTATAGATAATGGATTAATATTAAAAATTTATGATATAAAGCGTATAAGTTGTATAAAACATATAAATTCGCCTTTGTTATGCCTTTTTTAGAGTATTATATTAATTAAAGTTTTTAAAAATAAATAATAGTAAATATAAATAAGTCACGTTATTTTTTTAATTAAGATTTAATGAAATATTTGTAGGCGAGAGAAGAAGAACTTCTATCCCGGAAAAGAACTTTGCAAACCATAGTAAGTCATAACGTTTCCCGAGAAGAAGACGAGAGCAACAAACTTCTTGCGGATATGGACAAGGTACTGATTTCATTTATATTAAATTTAATATTATAATCCTTAAAGTTTTAATAACTCGATATACATATAACAACTTGTTACGTTTAATATTTGTTTAGGCTAATGCAAGTCTATCGAACCACCGCGAATACGTGGAATGCAAGCTTGCGTCGCTTAGAAAATACATCTGCACCCTGGATGCTGTTATGGCATGGGTTATGGAGACGCGAACGCGATTGAGTATTTCTCAAGATCTGCCGCAACACGAGCGTAATGAAATGATTAAAAATATTATGGTAAGTAATAATATAGTTTACATAATTAGTTAAAAAAGATGTCAAGTTGGATTACTTAAATTTTATAATTTTTAATAAAAATTATATCTATTCTTTAGTCTAAAGTCGAAGATCGCGAAATGGAAGTAAAAGATGTGCTAGAAAACTACACTAATCTGGAAAAAGAATGTGAATCAGCAAAACAACCGATTTCTATTGAATTGCAGGTATGCAAAAATATATGTTCATAATTATATTTATTTCCAACAGATTGTTACTATTGAAATGTATTTTCATCTTGAGCCATCTTTAGAAAATTTATAATTTCTCTATAGATATCTAAGAGAGACATGCATTCTTATTTATAATTTTTTATACTGTGCACTTCCATATATTTTATATATATTTTAATATATATTTTGTATGTGTATAATTTGAGTATTAGTTTGTGTGTTTCATATAAGTATATTTTACATTATATATGTGTATTCCTTCTCTCAATTATTTTTCGTGTTGCACGGCATATAAAGTTATAAATAAAATATTATCTTAAATTATAAAACAAATCATCTAAAATGGATTTTATTTAATATTGGGCATATGTGATAGGAGAAGCTGAAGAAACTAAGAGAAGACTGGCAATTTGTAAAATGTTACGGCGAAAATGAAGCTTCATCTACAATTTCTGCCAGAATTGCATCAAAAGGTAAGATAAATTGTGTGCATTTGTCTCGCTTAAAAATGAGTTCTTTTTATATTTGTAATATTTTCTGCTTTTCTCTAGTGGCATTTTTTAAATGATCGCTTTAGAGTCGATAAATATCGAAAATAGAATTTTATATTTGTCTATAAAAAAAAATCAATTTTCACTTTTTCTAAACATATAGTAAAAGAAATTACTTTCATGAACTTTCTACCGTATTCTCTACGGAGAATAAGAAAATTTAATATTTAAGAGCCACTACAGTATTCTTGTGGAAATGCATTGCTCTTTAATCAAGTGCATTTTTAAACTCGATAAAATTGTTTGAAATGGTAATTTATGGATTAAATGCTTCTTTTATTCGCCAATGTCGAGCGTATAAAGTAATAGAAGGAATAATTGACGCGCGCGGAGCTTTATTAGATAACGAAGATTTATTAGATTATATTTTTTATAAAAGAAGAATAATTGTTTCTTTTTTCTTAATTGGTTACATAGAATAAAAAGTATAGATAACGAGTCGATTAGAGTTAAATAGATTTCTACATGACAGTGATAAGAAATCAGTATAAATCAAGCGAATATGTCGCTGTTCGGTTAGTATAATTTTTTAAATAATTTGTAAATGTGTCAACATACTGTTGAGTTCGGAAAGGCATTACGATTGTCTGTCGCGTTAGGCATTTAATTTGAATGGAAGCAATTTTGGTTGTTGGTTGGTAAATACGCGTCCTTACGAAGGGCGCAGAATCTCTGAAGTAAACCGACGACCGAACAATAAATAGTACGTTTAGCCGGTCCGGTAAGCGCGGCCACATTTCACTTCCACCCCATCCTGCAGAGCGATATATATCCGCCGCGTTAAGTGCAGTCTTTTCAACGACTGGCCCGTTTCCTTTCTCCCTTGCCGTTATTCGATTGGTTGGTGCACTCGGACACTGCCTTATCACACACCTTATCTTAGAAATTGAATCGACCACATTGCTCAAACTTTAGACTCCAATAGACATAAATATAACCTAGAACATAAATATAATTTTTAAGTTTGAAAAATTATTTAATTTAATTGATTGATAAAAGGATTGTCGAAAAAATTGCTCATTTAAATTCCAATAAATTTCACGTTTTCCAAATTTTAATCCGAATTTCGATTGTCAAGATCCTTTGATCATTAAAAAATCACATTTGTTCTCGAAACTCTTTACGTGAAATGTTTTTTTTTCCTGGAAATTGCTAATAAAATATTATAGACAGGCGCGCGCACGACGCGTTTTTGAATATTCTAGATTCGTGAAATATATATGTTGTATATATAAAAAAAAATATAAAATGGCCTACGTAAAGTGCGATAAGCCGATTTGGAGCAATGACTCTAAGAATATTTGTGGAATCAAAAAACTGCTCATGAAAGCTCTTATCGAGAGTAAAAGTAAACTAAATAGGCTAAATAGTAATTATAATTACCTTAGTTTACTCTGTATAGAATTTACTCTTTAAATTTTATTCTGTTATCTAAAGTTCTAAATCAAAGATAGACGGTATGAAAGAAAAATGTAACACGGCTGTTAGAACGTGATAAGCGCGGCGTGATTATCAGATCGTTGTGAAAAGTGAACAATTAATTCCGCGAGTATGAAAAAAAAAAAGGTACTCACTCGTCAGCCGCGACACATCCGCGTCCGATATCGTCGTCTTCCTGCGAAAGCCGTTCCATTGTTCCGAACGTTCGCGCCCCTAGACATGGATCTGCTCGGAAAATCGCTAATTACCGCGATGCCGCGCGCTAATTAACGCGGGCGCGAATGACAGCTCGCCACTTTGCCCCGACACTCCCGACACGCTTATTGTATGCGCGACGCACTCCGGAGCAACGTGCAAACGAGCAACGCGAAAGCATGGCACGCTTGTCCGCGCCGTACTTACCGCACTTGTACACACACGCACACACTCACCCACTCACGACGTTCATTACGGACTACAGACGCTGACGCGTTGTCACGTAGGAAAAATTCCACCGTTTGCGGCAACTTCACAACGCGCGACACGTTAACCCCCAAAATCGAGCGCCTCGAGAATCGGGGAAACAATTAATTGTCCATTGAATACCCTTCGAAAGGGCACCCATTCGATGTTTTCGGCGTCCCCCCTCCCCCCTCCCGAAAAGCGACCCCAATAATACGATAAGTGTCTTGATAAATGGAGCATCTTGACGTCTCTTGTACGCCGTGAAGGGAGGTTTAATTCCGCGAGGGTTTCGAACGGCCTGAGACGCGCCGCGATTAACGGCGATCACGCGCTAATTAATGGTGATCGCGTTAATTAATGACGAATAATCGATTTTCTCGTCTGTACGCGGGAATTTATCTACCGCGACGGAAGGAGACGCACAATCGCGATGATTTTTGACGCGAAAGCAAGCGACGTACGCGAAGCGCGATCGTTAAGCTCACGATTACCACATTGATCAAAATAAGAGACGCCGTTATAAACACGCCCGCTCCATTGCGTGTCGTCAGCCGAGCGAGCCGAGTGTTAAGGTGCGAACGTGTGTACACTTCGAGCCGCGCTGTCCCATTTCCCCTCCTTCCCCGCCCCCTCCGCCCTTCACGCGTCGCTCGGGTCGAAAGGAAAACACTCGCGTAAAAACACCACCGTAAACATCCGCCGCGACGGACGCGCGAGTCGAGTTGGATTGGTAATCTGGCTACCGTCGCTGTATATATGAATCTAAAATCACGAATTGTTGTTCCGCGTACGCAGTTATTACGCAATTGATATTGCGACACTTTTTGTACTTTCGATACGTTTAAATACGTTTAGTCATGTGAATCGCATTAATGACAATGATGCGCGCTTTATTATTGCGCTGAGATTATTCTGTATTATACACTTTTGGTCTAATATTTTGATCGTAATTATTGTATTTTTTTGGTTTGCGTTAACGATATTAAGCCGTATCAAATTACGCAAGAATTGATTTAAAGATTGGGATTAGAATTTAACCGAGCAAAAAGAAACAGAGATTAAAGTTAAAATTATCTGCGGGTGTCGATCATATGTTTTCTTTTTGACGGAAACGTACGTGAAACGTGAAAACATCGACGAGATACTATTAGAGATCTTTTAATAGTGTTTTCACGTTTCACATTTCTGCCCTAGGGAAAAAGTTACACGACCGATGCTCTGATTGGTCAAATTTTAATGTCCAATTCTCCAAATCTCTAATGCGTAATCTGATACGTGGGCTTTGAGCCGATGCGAATGTTTCTTGTCGTATTACGGACTTGTGGCGGCAACGATAGACATTAAATTCAGATAACATTCTAGAATTACTCGAGATTGTTTATCGAAGTATTTCCAATTTTTTCGAGACATGCGAATTTGCCAATCAACGCGATCCACACGCGCGCTGCTTTCCTCCCCCCCCCCTCCCACCCTCCCGTCCGCTTGACTCACATTGCACTCATTGCAGTTGGTAGTACTTTCGGCCAAGTTCGCGACGTTTCGGCGTCAGTTCGCGAGAGTCTCGTCGCGGATACTTCGTCTCGCGTACACGCGGTGGAAAGGTTGCGATACTTTATTTCAATAGAGCTTAGAATGCATGAATATTTTGCGAACACGAACGGGGCTAGAGACAGCGATTTGCCGCTTTCGAGTCTCGAAATATCAGTGCATTTCGAAGCCCATCAAAATTATTGAAAAAAAAAAAAAAATGTCGCAACTTTTCCGCCGCCGAGTGTACTTTTCTCCGCGATGAGTGCCGGGTAGTCGCGCGTCTTCGTACGTCGGGAGTGACCGATTCGGGAGTTGCGGTGATTTGTCGGGAATCGTGGCAGGAAACGTGATCGCGATGCGCGACGATAATCGGCCGTTCCCGGACCGATCGGGCCGCGAAGGTCGCGGAACGGCCGCGGCGTCGGTGGCGGCGCGGCGGCTTTTTTTTCGAACCGACGTGACGTTGCCGCTTCATTTTCGTACGCGTCGCGCGGCGTAAAGACGCGATTAGGTGCGGGCGCGACGAGGGAAGCGCAGTCGCGTTTCCCTGTATTCACCCGCGGATGTAATAAGTGTCGGGATGATCGCGTTACGTTGATTAACCCGCGCGGGGATTCGTGGTGATTGACGTTCATCCGATCGAGTTCGCGGATTTGCGTGGGTGTGTGCGAGCGGGCGCCTGGAACGACGCGACGGGGCAACCGACGAGATGAGAATGCCGGTGTATCGTCGGTAAGTAAATTCATTCATTTTGCATTTTCCAGCTACTTTAAATTCGCGGCGACTTACACGATCGATGCCCCGTTTTCAATGCGTTGATCTCGTAATAGGTAGCGCATAGCTAATTGTTATTTGTGCGACAGTTATCATCTAGCGTCTCGAAATCGAGCGAAATACGATTTATTGTTGCGCGATATTTATGAAGCGCTGACTTTGATTCTTCATCGCAATTGTCGAGACGGCGCGCCGCCATAGGACAGTCGATTTGTTTAAAAAATACTGTTAACTATATTTAGAGTTGTTAACGACTGAATACACAAAGTAATTCGTTAAAAAACTACAATATACATATTCGTGATATCGTGCAGTTTACGGAATACGTCGCGCTGTTTTAGCTAGACGCTTGCAAATTAACTAAAATATCCGTACGTTTGTAAAGTCGCGAATAACTGAAACAGGATAACTGAAAAAATATTACTCTGTTGCAGAAACTTTGCAAATACTGAAAAGAAAGATAAAAAAAAAGGGTAGACGAAAAATATCTTCTCCCGTTGAATTTTGTAAAATAAATTCTGCTGGAATATTAAAATAAATAATAGAGCTAAATTCTAAATAATAGATTTTATTTTAAAAATCGTCCGTCATCAGAGAACGACGTCTTTTTCCCGCTGATTAATAATTTCAACGTTTTACAACAAATCACGACACACGGACTCTCCGTCCCGTAACCTCCTCGTTCCATTCGACATTGATATCGCCGCGAAGCCTCAGGAAGTAAGGACGGCAATTCTTGATTTCCGACGCGGGGAGGGACGGCGGGGGCGCGGGGGTGCGATCGTCGGTCCACATAATGAGCGGATAAGCCGGCTAATGTAGTCGTGGTGGAGCATTGCCAGACGGAAGATAGCTCAAGCGCGTTGTCGTCGCCCATTTCTCTTGTTCACCGCGTTTCTCCCCCCCCCCTTCCCCCGCGTCGCGCTCTCTCACCCTCTCTCAACCCTCTCCCAACCCTCGGTAACGTTAACGTACCGAGATAGAATCGGACTTTGCCCGACACAAGTTTGCCGGTAACCGCGGCAAAGTCGCACATGTGCGGAGGTACGCGGTACGTGTGTTTGTCCTTTGTGCGGTGCATGCGTGTGCCTCACGACACGTATATCGGTTAAACACCGGCGTGATTATCTCTTAATTGACGCAACCACTCCAAGATATAATCCGTTCATTCTGATTCCGGGCTGCCGCCGGTGCAAAAAATTACTTTGCGTAGATCGGGCGAATTCAACGTGTAAGCGGAAATCAACGATGGTTTCGCGTGACTCGGTCGTGTATTAAAGCGTATCAGAGGCAAACGGACAAGCATTAAAGCGCAAGAGCGCGCATGGGAATTGGTCTTATATCGTATAACATTTTTGAGATTGAAATACTTTGTCTAACAGAAAAGTAAAATTACAGTGTAAAATAATACACGAAATGTAGAAAAGTCGCACAATTTATAACGAAAATGTTTGTATATGTTTAATGAAAATTTACATTACAAATTGTGGGATTTTTTTTACACTTGTTATATAATTTATATTGATATTTGATAAAACATGATGTACTTTTTTGCCTATATTTTTGTATAACGCGTATTTATGTAACATGTCCTACTTATTGTTCCTATCTTAAAATTGCCGTGTTACCTGCGTTGAAGCCTCTTTTCCCCAATGTTTAAAAATTCATATCTTCCAAAAAAATAAAGATATAGACTTCTTTCTGGGCTCATCTTAAAGATGAATTTTGTGACTATTTTTTAAGAAATCGTGATTTTATTTAAAAATGGCCGATTCAAAATGGCCGATTAAAATGTAATTTTTTGAAAATTTATTTTTTTTCAAAAATTGTTAAAATTCGTTTAATTAAAATGGGTGGTGGTGGTGGTTAATGGTGGGTGATGGTAATAGGTGGTGGTTGGTGGTTGCGGTGGGTGATGATGGGTGATGAGGTAAAAAAAATTTTTTATTTAAAAATCACATGATATAAAAAATTAAAAAAAATTTTTCTTTTAAAAATCAAATGCTATAAAAAAATTTTCAGAAAAAAATTTTTACAAATATTTACAAATAACAAGAAAAAAAAATGGTCGTGAAAAATAGGTGTCGTGGTGGTGGTGAGTTGTGGTGGTGAGTGGTGGTGAGTGGTGGTTGTGGGTGGTGGATGGTGGTTGGTAGTGTTAAGTGGTGAAGGTGAACCAGAAATCGAAAAATCTGGAAAATGACTATGACTGATTTCACCTCGGACAATTTTTTATATTTTTCGATTTCTGCAATAAAAATTTTTCGAAAATTTTTCTGAACCAAAAATTGAAAAATCTGAAAAATAATTATGACTAATTTGCCCTCGGACAATTTTTTATATTTTTCGATTTCTGCAATAAAAATTTATCGAAAATTTTTCTGAACCAGAAATTGAAAAATCTGAAAAATAATTATGACTAATTTGCCCTCGGACAATTTTTTATATTTTTCGATTTCTGCAATAAAAATTTATCGAAAATTTTTCTTAACCAAAAATTGAAAAATCTGAAAAATAATTATGACTATTTTGTCCTCGGACAATTTTTTATATTTTTCGATTTCTGCAATAAAAATTAAAAAAAATTTTTTTGAACCAAAAATCGAAAAATCTGAAAAATAAATACGACTATTTTTCCCTCGGACAATTTTTTATATTTTTCGATTTCTGCAATAAAAATTTAAAAAAAATTTTTTTGAACCAAAAATCGAAAAATCTGAAAAATAAATACGACTATTTTTCCAGATCGGAAGAGCACACGTCTGAACTCCAGTCACT